GTGTGTGTGTGTGTGTGTGTGTGTGTGTGTGTGTGTGTGTGTGTGTGTGTGATGAGAAAGGAGATCTGAGGCTGAAGAAATGGCTCACTAGGTGGCTTGGGACACTGACATCTTGGGACCCTGAAAGTGAGAGACCTAACAGGAAATGGACTGGCTGTGAGGGACCAGACTAGAAGGAACAGGCAGAGTAGAACCTGACTAGAAAACTGATAGGAAAGAACCCGGTGGGGGCAGAGGGAAAAGGGTGAAAGAGACATGAATGAATGAATCTTGGAACGGGCCTGAAAGGCCACTCTTGCAGACAACCTGTATTCAGTTCCCAACAACTACAAGACAGTTCATAGTCATCTATAACTCAGGCACCTCAGGGAGGAGCAATAAAGTGACATCTTATGAGCACAGCCTCGGGACCATTGAGCCAGAGCCACTGAACTACATCCTTAGTGAGGATGGAAAGAAAGAAGTTATGGTGGTGGAACTCTGCTGGTTTAAGGTTACAGTGGGGATAATGTCACCGGTGACGGTTATGAGGTTATACCTCCACAAGCAATCCTCTCACTGGCCCCATCTACCCAACCCCAACAGCCACCTTCCAATCTTCTCAGGATAGGCTCCTCTCCATTAGTCTCAATTAGAAGTCTTTCCTACTATCCATCCTCTGCTTCTGTCTCCTCACTATAAGGCTGAGTTGTAAGATCAGAGCTGTGTCTTGTCTCTTGTCTATTGTAACCATAAGGAACTAGTACTTTTGGGTCTCACACATAGTTGCTACTAAGTATTTGTAGACCAAGTCCTTAAAAAAATCAGTTTGTAATTTGAGGATAATACTGTTACAGCTAACTTTCTGGATAAGTAAGAATTCTAGTTGACACCTAATACTCCATTTATAGCATTTAAGTTACAGAAACAAGTGTGGTTTAAAGCTTGCAATTCTAAGCAAAGGAAGCTTCCAGAAAATTTGGAAATGACTTTCCTATGATTATTCTTTTATTCTAAAGATTGATGATGTAAGACGCTTTCTCCATGAGGTTATTTCTATACAGAGTATCTTTACAACCTCTCACCACAAACCACAAATTTTGTAACGATGTTTATAAGAGTAGGATTTGTTTTCCTTAATGCAGGAAAACAGTTTCATTTCTTTTAAACACTCTTGAGTTGTCCATTAGAAAGTTGGCTTTCATTTCTTTTAAACACTCTTGAGTTGTCCATTAGAAAGTTGGCCTACTGGCCACCACATTGGGAAAAAACAAAACAAACAAACAAAAACAGTGTGGAGACAGAAGAAAGTGTTAGTAACTCTCTAAGGTAGTTTTAATTTTTCTAGCACTGCTTTAAAAAAAAAATAAAAATTTAAATATAAAAATGTAGGGGTCTAGTCCAGTGATAGTGGTGCATGCCTCTGATCCCAGTACTTCAGAGGCAGAATTCTTTGGGTTCAAGGTCTATAAATTGAAATCCAGGATAACCAAGGCTACACAAAGAAACCCTGTCTTGAAAAACAAAACAAAAATAGTAGGAGGCCAGTAAAATGACTCAGTGAGTAAGGGCTCTTGCTACCAAGACTGGCAACCTGAGTTTGGTCACCAGAAATCATGATAGAAGGCACGAATCAGCTCCCAAAACTTG